ATCTCCCCCACCCTGGCTGCTCTGCATTGGTTGTCCATTTGGTTCCGCATTGATTTCAAAGGTCTGATGATGACGTATAAAGCCCTAAACGGTTTGGGCCCTCAATACCTGGCAGATCGCCTTCTCTCACCCAGGTCTACTTGAATCACCCGACAAAGCCAGCAGGGACGGCTGAAGGGCCTTATGCTGAGAGAAGCCCAGAAATAAAGAACAAGAAACCGGGCATTCTCGGCAGTGGCCCCTCGGCTGTGGAATACTCTACCAATGGAAATCCGCCTGGCTCCCTCGCTGGGTGTTTTTAAAAGCCATTTAAAAACTTGGCTCTTTAGGCAGGCCTTCCCTCCAGTCAATTAACTGTTTCATTTCTTTAGTTCCCCATCTTGATAACATATATATCCACCTGTTATGGATTTTATTATTATGTTCTTAGTAAGTATATTTTTATTGTATTTTATCATTTTTTGTAAGCCGCCCCGAGTAGACTTTGTCTAGAGGGGCGGGGTATAAGTCAAAGCAAAGTAAAGTGTGAACCCTAAAAATATAACACAGGATATGACTATTTAAATAGGCAGTATACCAATTGAAATTTTGAGCTTTGCCTGAGGGAATGTTTCTTATCCTTTCCTGAGGGAAAGAGACCAGTCTGACAAGAGCTCGTCTGAATAAGCAGCTGCAGTCTGGACAAATTCTTTGGTGGTTTTGCTGTGACAGACCACAGTGTAATATGACATCCCCTCTAGAGGTTTCTGCAGCAGAAGTATTTATTGGATACTCAAAGTGCTCTGCTTATACAGCACCCCATTGCAATTAAAGCACACTCTGGGCGGTTTATAATTTTTTATTTATGCAAGCAACACATCCGCGCGCCCCCATCCTCGGATGCATGGAAGGCTGAGTGAGTCTTGAGCCAACTATCTGAGCTTGGGATCGAACTCAGATCATGAGCAGACTCATTACTGCAGTTTACCACTGTGCCACGAGTCTCCTCCACACATTCAGTCATGCCCCCTATTGCAGGTGTGGGCACTGTCTGATTTTGTTTGAATATCAGGAAAACATCCTAATTATTAGAGTAATGTGACAATGGAACTAATTACCTCAGAAGGTGATGAGCACTTGAATGGAGGCATTCAAGATTTAAATTTAAGTGCAGTTGTGATTGAGGAATGTTAATGTTAAATTTTAGTCTATATACAATTTTAGTTCTGGATGACTGAATACAGTTGCCCTTTTCATTCAGAATATTTCTCTCAGAGCTTGGAAGTAACTTGGTTGACTATCAGGAAAAATGTACTAATTGTTATAGCAGTGTGACAATGGAATCAATTACCTCAGGACGTTGTGAGCTGTGGAGACATTCAAAAGAAAAATTCAACAAACATCTGTCAGATACAACTTTGATTTGGATTCTTGCATTGAGTAGGGGGTCCTTATAACCCATTCCAGCTCTGTTATTCTTTGATACTTTGGTTCCTCTTTCCTCTCTACTCCATCCTCCACCATTTTGATGAACTATGAACTGTTAATGAACTCTGGTCCCAGTTACCAGTCTTTCTTCTTCCCACTTCTGCTAATACTGTACTTTCACTTTTGTTTAGCTGTCTTACCATTTGGATGTGACTGTATCAAGTAACTTGAAAGGGTTGGAATATGTATAAATAAAAAAAATGATGTTATACTTTTTGCTTCTTGTTAGCTTCTTTCTCTCCCTCCCTTTATTTCCTGTATCATATCTTGGTTGAGATGGATTGGGGAGGGCTGTGAAGGAGAGTGCCCCCCAAAGTTTTGTCAGATTGAAGCATATTAGGGGAGTCCAAGCATATTATAGAGAGCTGAGCTGGAGGACATTCAGGAAACTCCTTTACCTTTAAAAAAATCTTTTAGAAAAGATGGAAGAACCTTGAGCTAAATGGACAGGCAGGAAAAAGATGACCTTCAACGTATACTGCTTGTGCATATTTTTCCTCCCACCTGCCAAGCATATTTAGACAAACATTGTTCTTCATTCAGGGCAACAGAAATAACATATTGGAAAGGAATTGCATTCCTTGATTGTAGCACAGTAAAGACAGCAGGTATGTTTTGGTTACATATAGATGGATAACTACTGTATACTGTCTATATATTAGGCTATTCATCTAGTCGTCTATCCACCTGTCTTTCTGGGACTCTGTCTAAATATAATGATAGTGCTGTAAGATATGTCCAGCTGTTGAGATAATTCAAGCTGGGATCTCATAAAAACCTGCATACTTGGCAGGCACAACTGGAATACAGTTGGGTTTTTTTTAAGCAACAAAAATGGGTGATGTTTTCTATCTAGGAAAAGCATCCATAGTGAGTGGGCAGTCCACCATTCCCTTCCAGAACATCTTTAGTTATCATACATAAACTTAGAACTGTAACCACCAACAGTGAATGAGAGTAATGAACATGTGCAGAATAACCTCCATTTGTCATGGTTTGTTACCACAAACTTGGCATTAAGAAGGGGACTTACTGGGCAGGTGACTGGTTGTCTTTTAATATGGTGGCACCTTTTTATTTTTAGAAGGTCATCCGCAGGCTGTAGGCAGTATATCATGAAATTGTTGTTTGATTCCAAAATGGGATATTAGAAACTCTCTAAAATTGATGCTAGCTAAAGGAAGTTGGTCTAGGCTTTTCCAGTGAAATGTCTACAGGTCAGAGTCATTAGTCTTTATCTATTTGAGTAGGAACAGTGCTATCGCTGTGGTGATATTTGTCATCTTCTGCCTGAAGTGGAGAAACAGCCAGGAGGGGTGGTGTGACAACCCCAGACCTACTGGAGTGTACCACACTTTAATTAAGCTGCCACCAACCATTCCCTATAAGAAGTCACACAGACCAGGAATGGATTTTTAACAAACAAAAGAACAAGGTTTATTTAAATAACAAACAGGGTAAATAAAAAGATCAAGTAAAGAAGATATTGTAACGTGGCTTAGTCTCAATCATACATACAACAGTTTGGTTCACCCAGAACACTTTAAAGTAAAGCACAGACCCTGAACCTATCAGTTCTGGCTACCCACATAGAAACCTGGACCTATCAGGTAGGTACTAACTGACACACAGTTGTACTCAGTCTGACACACAGACTCCAACTCCTCACTCTCCACACAAGCTCCAAATATATATACAGTACAGCTCCTCCCCCTGATGTCCCGCCTTCCACTCTCCATAGGATGGAACTTTCCCTCCAAACCCATGACAGACAGGTACCATCAGTGCTGTATGTGACAGGTGGATGGGATGCCTCCTGTAGTTAGCTCCTCCACCAACCCACAAGTTTCAAGAAACAACAATGCAATATGGAGATAGGATGAGATTAGCACATGCAACAACAAGAATATCAACAACAAACATTAGGAAGGGATTTCTGTCTAATCTGCAAAAATTAGAAGGTTGAATGAATTAGAATAACAAGTGACATCTAAGTGCCATATGCATGTAAATTGATCTCCAGAGCTCCTGCATAAATAGGGGACAATGGGGGGGGGAGTGGGAGCACTCCGGATTGGCGCCTCGGGAGGAGGGATGGAAGGAGGGGCGAAGGGCCTGGCCCCGATCCCCGTGCGCACCCCTGGGGCGCCGAGTCAGAGAGCAGTCGCAGCGGGAGGCGCTGCAAAGGCGGAGGCGCCCGCTGGGGACCGGGATCGGGGTGGCAGCAGCTGGACAGGGGGAGGGTGGCAAACATTAGGAAGGGATTTCTGTCTAATCTGCAAAAATTAGAAGGTTAAATGAATTAGAATAACAAGTGACATCTAAGTGCCATATGCATGTAAATTGATCTCCAGAGCTCCTGCATAAATAGGGGACAATGGGGGGGGGAGTGGGAGCACTCCGGATTGGCGCCTCGGGAGGAGGGATGGAAGGAGGGGCGAAGGGCCTGGCCCCGATCCCCGTGCGCACCCCTGGGGCGCCGAGTCAGAGAGCAGTCGCAGCGGGAGGCCGGGCGTCATCCGGGGCTGGCTGGCTGGCTGGCGGTGCTTTGCCATGATTGGTTCCCTGCTTGGGGAACCAATCATCGCAAAGCCATGCTTTTTTAAACAGCTGATCGGCAGTTTCAAAATGGCCGCCTGCTGTTTTCTGGGATGGATTCCTCGCTTAACAGGCAGCGAAAATGGCCGCGCTATGAAGGATCTTCGCTGAACGGTGAGTTTGAAGCCCATAGGAATGCATTAATTGTGTTTTAAAGCGTTTCTGTGGGCTTTTTTGTTCCGCGTAGCGATGAATCCGTATAGCGACGATTTTCCGGAACAGATTATCGTCGCTATGCAGGGCACCACTGTACTTAGTCATATTGGTCTGTCTAGCCCAGTAATTTTGTTACTGATGGGCAATAGCTTTCCAAGGCTTCAGCCAGGATGGTTTCATCACTCTACCTGAAAATATTAGGGACTGAACTTACAACATCTGTATGCAAAGCATGAACACTTCCAATGCATAATGACTTTCTAATGATATATCTTTCTAATAATGCAAAGTAGCCTGCCTATTAAATTGCAATAGGCAGTTTAGATGTCATTTAAAATCTCTGAAAGGAAATTTTCAGTAAGGTTGTGGCGATACATGCAGATGTATCAAACTGTAGTTAATGAGTAGAATAAAACAGTGATTAATCTACTAAATTCCTTAATTGGTCAACAGCTCTAATGCTGTGTGCCTAGAAGTTCCTAATGCTGGACTTGCCTTTAATGTTTTAACCTGTGACAAATCAGTTCTGTAGAGATGTTCCTTCAGTGGTGCATCCTGAGATTCATTGTGGTTGAGTACCTGGTTGCCTTGGTGTGGTGGCACTTTCCCCCATCCCTAATAATAAACAGGAAGCATCACTTTTGCACAAAACCTTTTGATCTCCTTTGGACAGTGTTTTCATATCACTTTTGTGTTAAATGTAAAAACAGATCTACGACAAAAGTGGATGCATCTGTGATCTGTTTTTCTTTTTTGTTCCCCTTGCCCCCACATTCCAGGGTGTGTTGTCTAACATCTCCTCCATCACTGATTTGGGAGGCTTTGATCCAGTGTGGCTGTTCCTTGTGGTTGGAGGAGTGATGTTCATTTTGGGGTTTGCAGGATGCATAGGAGCTCTGCGAGAGAACACCTTCCTTCTCAAATTTGTAAGTAGTTGGCACAATTTGTGTGGAAATTTGCTCTGTCAACAAAATGCTGCCTTAAACTGTGCTGATTTGATTGAGTGTTTTGTTTCTGCTCCTTTTTTGCTGCTACAAATTATGTCCTTTCTAAAAATTTCCCAATAAGTAGCTGTGTTTGTTTGTTTCAGAATGTTGGCAAAATTGAAGGCTGTTGGGTGGAGGGAGAAATTTTTTAATGGCACTTTAAATACTAACAGATTTATTACAATATGAACCTGTGTGGATAAAATTCCATTTTTTCAGATACATGGAATCCAGGTGTCTGAAGAAGTGGATTTTGATCCACGAAAACTCACAATGCAACAAACCTGTTAGTCTTTAAAATTCTACTGCATTTTTCTTTTCTCTGTTTCTCTCTTTCCCCTGCCCATTAATTTTGCTAATATGTCCTATGTAGGATTGTTTGGGTTGTTACGAAGGTTCACTTTCAGGTGAATTATACAAATTCAGTAATCAGTTACTGTGTTTAATAAATCCATGTCTTTAGTTCTGATTTTTGTCTCTATAGAATATGAAGGAACACTGCTAAACCTTTGCAGTCTGTGGAGATTAATCCTCTCTACAAGGCACTGTCATCCATAATGGCCCCTTAGAGACTGTGTTGTGTAATGAATAGGTATTAAAACAAATTCTAGAATTCTTCGTCTCTGCAGTGAATTACCCCATTGAGAGTCAGGGGAGTGCCCAACTTTGATGATCTCTTTTGCAACTAGAGCTCCACCTTTGTACATTTTTCCATTGGGAAGTCTTGTTGGAGTTGTTGGGCTTTCATATTATTGCCGTATCAAGATCAGAAAGATGAAATGAAATATAAGATTAATATTATCTGACATCACTTTTCTCTAAATCTCTTGGGATCTTCATCTATGTCATCTGTAAACATTTGCTTTTTAGTTATCAGCTTAGTTTTAGCAGACGTCTGGACATGTTTATACGACAAGTGCATTAAGGCTACTTCTGCCTCCTGAAAATGACTTACTACCAGTAAAATATATTACTCTCAATCTTTATTAAGGCAGAAGCAAAAGGCCACAATGACTTAAGAAAGTTGATGAGTAGTGGCTTACTACTATAAGGGCACTGATGCCTGCTGAAATTGTTGCCACTGTGGTGATTTCTCGTGCCTTTGGAATATTGCCTCAGCACAGTCCTGGCTTTGTGACATTTTAGAACTATCATAGAATTGCTTCCCACATCATAGAAAAGTCACAGTCAAGTTTCTCAAGCCCATGTATACTTATATGACTTTCCGCTTCAAACATTTCAGTGAACATGGGCCGAGAAGGTTATGGAAATGTAAGAACATAAGAAGAGCCCTGCTGGATCAGGCAATGGGTTAGTCTAGTCCAGCTTCCTGTATCTCACAGTGGCCCAACCAGGTGCCTCTGGGTGCGCACGAGACTAGATACCTGTCTCCTGATACCACTCCCCTGCATCTGGCATTTTAAACTACACTCTTTTTGAGCCTGGAGATTATACATCCCCATCATGACTTGTAACCAGCAATGGACTTTTCCTTGAGAAATCTGTCCAGTCTACTTTTAAAGGGGTGGCCATCACCACATGTGGCCATCACCACATCCTGTGGCAAGGGATTCCACAGACTAACAACACGCTGGGTAAAGAAATATCTCCTTTCTCTGTTCTCACTCTCCCAAAACTCAATTTTAGTGGATTCCTCCTGGTTCTGGTATTGTGTAAGAGGGGGAAGGCTTCCCTCTATCCACTTTATCCATCCCCCCTACATAACTTTGTATTCTCACAAAGTTGTCCTTGCAGTATTAGAAGGTGAAGTTTACCATCTCAATAAATTTCAAAATTGGGTAAATTTCCATGGAGTTGCATTTTTGTAATTATCTGTATTCTTTTAGAAAAGAAGATTCTTATAAAGCTCAGTTAAGCATCAGCACCTACATTCTATGTAGTTCCTGTGAAATCACAGCATAGACAATGCCTTTGACTTGGTATGAAGCTTGCTTCCAGAATAATGTTACCAGCAATCCAAGCCAGATAGAATCAGTACACAGTAGCTGTGGTAGTCTTTCTTCATATGGTCATTGGGCAGTGCATTGGTTCTTAAGAGCTTACTATTAGACATGCCATCAAAATAATTAAAAGACTTGAAAAAGGACTCTACTAAGGCACATTTCCTTCTTCACAGTTCTCAGTATTCTTGGGAATCATCTTCTTCCTGGAACTCACAGCTGGTGTTCTGGCATTTGTATTCAAAGACTGGATCAAAGACCAGCTGTATTTCTTTATCAACAACAACATTCGTGCATACAGAGATGACATTGATTTGCAAAACCTCATTGACTTTACACAAGAATATGTAAGTGGCTTTTTCACCTCTTGTATGAAAAATGTCAGTTTTACAAGGTAACTACTCCCCACTTGGTTTTTGATTGTTCATTTTTAAATTTCTGAATAGAGAACATTTTGTAACATTTTTTTCCTTTGTAAAAACTGGCACCCAATACTTTTTCAATGCATTTCCAGCATGGGAATAATTTGAAAATAGTAGCTGCGTTGGGAGCAATATCGTACAGATCCACTGAACCTTTGCAGCTCACATTTCATAAAGCACAGTAGTCCTTTTGTTTTCACAAAAAGAGTTGAGAACTGGGGATAGTGGAAATTCCTCTTGGAATCATAGTTGTTGTTTCCTTCCCCCCCTTCTCTTGTTCTAGTGGCAGTGTTGTGGAGCTTTTGGTGCAGACGACTGGAATCTCAACATCTATTTCAACTGCACAGACTCCAATGCAAGTCGAGAGCGCTGTGGGGTACCCTTTTCCTGCTGCACTAAAGATCCTGCTGTAAGTGGGAGCTCAAGCTTGACAAGGCAGTAGGGTCATAAAGAACTTTGTGTATGGACTCATCTCCTTACACTGTGTATGTTTCATTATGCTCGTTCAAAGTGTAAACTGGGATGGGCAACTTGTGGCCTTCCTAATGTTGCTAGTAGTTGCAATCCAACAACATTTGCACAGTGTTCACCCCAGCATACACATAGTCTTAGCTTTGCATATTCAGTGTTCCATGCCTATCGATAGGCCTTACATCTTCTGCAAGTGTCTCCTGTGTATGACTACTGTTCCTACCTCTGTAGTACTTCTGTTATAACATTTGTGATGGATCATCATTGCTGAACTGGCTATCTTGGTCCTATCACAGCATTGAGGAGAGTGCTTATTTTCCTAATGCTAATTTGGGAATCTGTTCCACAAATTAATTAATCATCTGTTTGGATGTCAGAATTAAAGCTTCCTAAAATGCATCTACTCAGCAGGAGGCATGTTTATACTAAGGCTAAAGTTCTAATTTGCAAGTCAAAAAGAAGGGGCATATTTTTAGAAATACAGTTTTCACTGAGGTGGTAAAGCTGTTCCTGGATTTCAGGCTCAACTGATTGAATGTTCCTGCATGTCAGGCATTTCCTCCATGTGGAAAATCAGCATGTACAACAGAAGAGGTTGACCTTTTTAGGCATCTATAGGCAGGAGACTGGATATGGTGGGCCATCCACTCATATGATGTTAGTATTGGTATACAAAGCCAACCTAATACTGCGTGGGCCACCTCATTTGGCAGGGATTCCTTGATGGTTGCACCCCAGTTGAGCTGCTTTCTGTCAAAGACCCAGTTGTCTGTCATGTTTTTGTCCTTCAGATGGCAGCTAAAACATTCTTATAGGCACAAACCTTTGAGGGATATGCAAGTATGACAGTTCCTCTTTCACTGCAGTGTTTTACTTTAGTTTTGCGAGTAGTGTGTTGGTTGTATTTTTAGAAGAAACTTGTAACCTGTTTTTTTGTAATTTTAGAAGTATGTAATTTGTGATTTCAGCTGTGTTTTCATATGAATTGTTAGCTGCCTGCCCTAGGGTGTGTTACATATTGAATAAAAAATAATAGTGTTAACCCCCACTAGTTTTGCTCTCTGAAATGTTGCAGTCCAGAAAAAAGAATTTAGCACCCCAGTGAGAACAAAACCTTTGTTTTAAAATGGGCAAATTATTCATAGGGTGGAAGTGCTTCTAAGAGAGCATTCTGACCACTACATTTAGGTGGGAAGTGGAAAGAATCACAGGAAGTTCTGTCACGTGTGGAAATTTGACAAAATGAAGAGAGATACTTATTGGGACCTTTTTTTTGTTTTTTGTTTTGTTTTTAGGAAGATGTCATTAATACACAGTGTGGTTATGATGCCAGGCAAAAGCCAGTAAGTGTTCATGTCTTTTTATCTGTATAATCTCTGTGAGTGGGATGGGAAAAAAGGTAAAAGCCAAGGAAAGTATTAAAAGATACCTATATATATTTCTTTTTCATCATTACTTCCAGGAAGTTGACCAGCAGATTGTTATTTACACAAAAGGCTGTGTCCCTCAATTTGAGAAATGGCTGCAGGACAACCTCACTATAGTTGCTGGCATATTCATTGGCATAGCATTGCTGCAGGTAAACCACTTCGTTCCCTTAAGGGGCTGCAGAAAATGAACAAAATACAGAAAGGTACCTAAAAGTAAAAAAAAAAAAAATGGAGGAGGAATCTGTGTGTATAATCACATGAAATATTTAACGTGAACAGTGGCCAGATCCTGTTTGGTCAAAATGCTTGCACAACTAGCTGCAGCATGAGCAGTTGGGCATTTTTCTTGCTTGTGCTAGGAGGTGTCTACTGTCTCTTTGCACAAGACAAAGTCAATCTGTCACATTGATGATTTTTGCTTGTGCAATAGCAATCCTAGGAATCCAGCATCACTTTTCACTGGTCGTCGATAGGATGCTGACCAGTGTGTCCTGTTGAATGGCATCATGCTATGTTTAACGGAGATGTTGAAAAAGGTTTTTGGGGGGTGGGGGTGCACTACAAAACTCAGTACATATCTTCTGTGTAGCCCGGTCACAGAAATGTCTAAAAACTAATGTTTACAAACCAAGTCGACTAATGTTTGGATGTAGTTTAATTGAATTCAGGACATAAAAATAAACATGGTTAATCTAGTGTAATTATAATTTTTATTACAGAATATAGGGGAACCATTATTCCATGGGTGAGTGATGTTGAAAGGTCAGAGGGCAATCTCTTTGTCTTCAAGAACCTCCAGTGGGCTATCCGCACACCTGCTCTCTCCTCCACCTGTCCAGAAGATTGGTTTTATACCATATCCTCTGGCTGTAACCCACTCCTCACTTACCCCAGGGCAGGCCTGTCTTCTTTGATAGCTTTGCTCTAACGCACTGGTTCTTAACCTTGGGTTACTCAGGAGTTTTGGACTGCAACTCCCAGAAGCCTTCACCACCAACTGTTCTGGCTGGGGTTTCTCGGAGTTGCAGTTCAAAAATATCCGAGTAACAAAAGTTAAGAACCACTGCTCTAACGTGTTGAGGTCTGCCATTTTGTTTAAAACAAAGTTAAATTTATGTAACTATTGACTTAACCAACCTAGTTTCTCCTAATGGAGCCTGCTATTCCAGCTTACATATCTCATTTTCTTTCAGATATTCGGGATATGCTTGGCTCAGAACCTAGTTAGTGATATTGAAGCAGTCAGAGCCAGCTGGTAGCCATTGACACAAGTAACAGTAGGATAACCGACCCTCAGCCAGTAATGGAAAAGCTCCATTGGGTTCCATGGATGCTGTGCTTATAGAAATGGGTGACAGCAGAGTTTTGAGTTCTCTAATTATTGGAACTGCCTCAGACCCTTTTTTAATTCCAGAGGAAACAACTCTAGCCACCTGGTTCCTGATAAAAGCTCTTCAAAGCTCCAGTCTGATATGTTTTGAGCCATTTTTTTCTACTGTATCCTTGACTGAATAAACTAGTGGACACTCCTTTCTTCCTTATTTGATAGTAAATGGTCTGTGTCAATGGGACTTCAGCCACAGCATAATTTAATGGGCACACTGTTTCTTCATGCATCACAAGTTTGTGGGCTGTTGACAGACATAAGGAAGTATCTTTGTCCAGTGCACACCAAAGGTGTGGTGTGTTCTACACCAGACAGAGACACACACAGTACTCCTTCTGGAAGAAAACCCATCAAATAGAAAACTACTTTCTCATTCTTGGCTGGTTTGCTTGCAGGCAGGAAATAATCCATATACCACAGGATTTTCAAGATCTGCTCTGTTGTGCCCTCTGTTGGGAAACAGCAACTTTAATTATACTGTATCTCTTCCTCTTGCACTCTTATCTCCAACCAAGCAGAATGGAATCTGACATCTTAATTAACAGATTTGAAAGCTACAGTTGAAAATACGTTTCATGTTTGTAACATGTGACAACATATAATGTAAGAAGAGGTGTGAACAATGAGGATTTAGACCAACTTTTTAATGAAGAGATTGACCACACTTCTCAATGTTAAAACCAACAACTGAGAAGGCACCAAACATCATGGGCAAAACTAAATTCTAATGGAAGTACATTTGTGTGGAATAGTTTAAAATCACTCTTGTTGCACTAGCATTTGATGCAACTGGAGAAATGTGTAGGGATGCCCCTTGAAACTTTGTATTACTGTTTTCTTTCATATCCTGCATGTGATTGCGAGAAGCAATCTCTTTGGTGTGTCTTATTTGGGTATCTGTTTTCAATAAGCTCCTAGGTCCAGTTTGTTTATTTATTAGTGCATAAGTGGCTAAAACAACAAAGCAATTTGCACCTCTTCATTTTGCAGTTGGATAGGAATATTTTTCCTCATTTTCAGTTGTTCCCTTGTACCATTTCCTCCTCTCTCCATTCCTTCCTTCTGCTCTCTGATTTGAAATGTTACTGCTTTACTCAAGCAGAAGTTTTTTTAAGACCCATGAAGTAAATTTTAGTTTTATAGAGCCTATTTTTGAAGCAAGTGAAAATAAGTACAATTTGAGAAGTAGTAGCATAACACGAAGATCCCTCTGAAACTAAAAAAATACAGATAATTTTATCTGAAAGTATGCTTCACTGAGGACTGGTTGATGTTATTTCCAGTAAATGTGTCTGGGTTTGGGAGTAATTGTCTGTATTTGATTTAGATAGCTATGGAAAACACAAAGTTGATGGTGCCTTCTGTGAAAGAACTGAATATAGCTTTTCTTATCAAGAAAATTGAGTTTGTTGTATTTGGGCAGAAATTCTTGTGAACACAACAGTCTTGTTGGGTTTGAGAGGAAATTCATTAATGTTTTATTCTTATGTGCAGGAACAATAAGATAGAATGGAAAATGGGGGGAAAAAGATTTCCCAATACCATTGGTGAGCCTGGCTATCTAAAAAAGCCTATCTCAGAAAGAAAAATCCAATATAAACACCTTCTTCATGTGAAACATTCCTTGGTGTTAGTGGATAGTTGACAATTAATGCAATCTCCAAAGAATGCTATTTTATATAGTATCATTTCAAGAACTAAACATTCCAAACACACTTATGGTCTTACCTCATGGACTGCATATGACCCATTTGACTGAATATTGGGCACTGTTCATCCTAATGAAGTTCATTTAGGCCTACTACTGGTAATTTCAAATATGTCAGGTAATACTTGTAATATTCTGATAAAGCTTCAAGGGTTGACTTGCTGAGCAGGAGCAGCTTATGAGAGAAATAAGGCCAAACATCCAAGATGCTGAAATACTATGTGTAACTATGATTATGTTACAGAAACATTCCTTATTGCATCTGCTGTAGATTTTGGAAGAATATTTTCCATGCTTCTGCTTAAATCTCCCATGATGGGCCCTTCTATTGATTTGCTCCTTTCTAGACATGGGGGGTGGTATACGAATACGTATATGAACACGAAGCCTGATTACCACCCACCCCCAGAACCTGGTGGACCACTTACTGTGTGGCGCGTCATCCCCTGTGCCCCAATTGCAGCAGTAGCCCAGCCTCCCTGTTTGCCTGGCCACTCAGCGGCTGAGTAGGGAGACTCATCGTCCCTCCCCTTGGGCTGGAGTGGCTGGACAAGCAGGGAGGTGGGACTGCGGCAGCTGGGCTACTGCTGCGATTTGGGCATGGGAAATGACACTAGCTTTGTGAGCTGCATGGTAATTGGTCCAGCAGAATCTGAGGGTGGGTGGTAATTGGGCCAGCCACCTATGTCGATGGGGTTTTGTATTTGTATACGAATATGAAGACCCCATGTCTACTCCTTGCTTATTTTCATCCCATTTCCAGAGTGAATTTATGCAGATACTGTATTTGTAGACATGGGGATAGGGATCACAACATAGTGAAATCCTTGTCGTAATGGTAAAGCTTTCTTCTTAGTGGAACACTCTGTGGTTAAGTGTCTGATACCACCTTTCTGATAAATGCTGATTCTGGGAATATCTGACTGGCTCTGCAACAGAAAAAGTTCTGTTTTTGGATCCAGAGAGAAGTGTATGAAACAGAAAATGTTGGTTTTTTCTAGAAATTTATCACCTTCTCTTTTGGATGTAAAAGTTTCTCTGATTCATGTAGGAAATCATTTAAAACAACAACAACAAAAGACTGCTTATTTCCCTACCTTACATCACTGTTGCAAATAGTTAAATGGTTCAGACACCCCTTTTAAAATGTGTTTCTCCATTTTGTATAACCATTTTGCTAACAGTCCTGTCTATATGGTGTTCAGATTTCATAGACTTCAAGAACCCTTCATTTGCTTTTGAAATTTAGGGAACAAATTCCATTTACCCTTTACCCTGAAAGTATCTAGGTGACCTTATTTCTGGACCTTTATTTAATTTCCACATCAGTTGCACAAGACTGGTATTGAGGAAGCTACTGTATTATCTTAAAGATAGCCATGGAAAGACAGCATGGACCAAGCATGCCTGCAAGAACAACAAACTTGCAGAGCAAATTTCATTTCCAGATCTCTTACGTAAGTGAATATTTATCTAAAATCACTTGATTTCTGGAAAACAACAATATCCTTTCCAGGAAGGGAAGGAAGACTTCAGCCTGAACTAATAAAACAGTGACAAAAGAGAGTGAGCTGAAGCTGCCATCTGCATGACTGTTGACTACATAGTTAGCTTTCTTATCCCTGTTTTCTTTTAAAAAGGTAGAGATTTCCAAGGAAAAAAGGAGTTTTGAGTTATTAAGGGCAGTTTTTTAAATGACACAAATAAAACGAACTGAAGGACCTAAATTGGTAAAAACCATTTGTCTTTATAATTTTTAGAAACCAACTCAAAGCGTAGCAGGTCCAGTTGTTGAATGGTGAGTCAACACTTGTCTAAAACTCTTTATTTCAACAGGCCTACTCTCATTTGAATGTCCTGTTGGATTCAGGCCAGCAAGTTAGTGGGACTTACAAAAGTATTAACAATCCTATTCATTCAGTGGTACTTCTATAGTTAGAATTTAGTCACAGATGTTCAGAGGCAATGCTGATGCATGATGTGCCTGGGCATGAATCAGTTCTTCAAATCTTGAATAAGTCAAAATCAAAATACAAAATCAGATCTTGTAGTGTGTTAATTTTGATCCATAATGTTTGTCTGGTGAAAAGGTTCCCAACCCGTATGCCCCCCCTTTTAAACCCCTTCTTTTTTTCATACCTTGTGTCTGTTTTGCAAAAGGAAAGAAAAGCCAAAATAATTCTGCTCCTAGAGATGCAAATGTATACACTACTTTGTCTTTAAAAAATTGAACACGTTTGTTGCTTGATTGCTGGCTCAAGGACAGTCTACTTAATAAACTAGTTAGTCCATTATGTGCCATGAAGTTGGAACTGACTTACAGCAACCACAATAGGGCTTTCAAGGTGAGTGATATATTTAAGGTTGTACCAGTTCCATACCTCCAGTAAGACCCAGGCCTCCTGAGTCCTAGTCTATCACGCTGTCCACTACACCACACCGGGTACCCTACCTAGTAGACTTCTATGTATTAATTCAAGATTGTTACAGTTAACAAATCACATTCACTATGCTGCCCTGCCAGCTTGCTTGAGGTTTATAGAAATGCAGCTGTTTTGTATTTGCTGGATGTACGTAGTGACATTTGTGGATTGATGGTGGATTGGTCTCATGCACAAACTAACAAATTGTTTCCAGAGTCCTCCAAAGTGTAGCCTGCTTTCATACAATATTTTCCACTATGCATTAACTTTCTGGAGCAGCAAATCTGGGTAGAGAAGTTAAGAGCTTTCCAGGGCTTTGTTATTGCTTTAAACATTTGCTTGAATAATTGCAGCAGTTGGGTATACTGACTTCTGTATAGAATGATCCATCCTGGTCTAAACATCCTAGTTTCAGTCTGTCTCCGTTTGAAGCAGTAGAAACTATTTTTTGCTTTCATTCTGCTCTTGTTCTGTGACCTGAGGGCTGCTTTCTTCCATCCAGATGCAGTTACACATACTGAGAAGTCAAGGCTTGGGACCTGGCCTTTATCAGGTTCTACCTACTGTGTAAATAATCTTTAAAATGTAAATAGTAGAATGCAAATGAAATGATCCATGCACAGGATTGTGGTTCATCTTAAATGTGTAATTATACTGAGATGGATGTACAAGGTGTGTCTGACTGTCCATTTTAATACTTAAAAGCTTTACATATCTTTCATTTCAAATTTGGAATGCTTTAATAGCCTGCCATCTAGTGTCTGCTTCGCAATACTGCAGCTGCGTAAAACGGGTAAGAAGGGCTCCCAAACTGTATTACATTAGTCCAAGAACAATATTGGACCTCCTTTCTTTTACTGTCCACTTTGAGCATTGATTGTACTATTTGCTGCCAAAATATGGGCACTCTATTTACTCCTATGTTGTTCCAAAACTAATTCTGTACCCTCAGTGGTCACACCTGACAGCTATCAAGAGGGTACCTTTGCATAGGAATATTTGAGGCCTGCTTTCTTGAACTGGATGCCTGCTTCAGAAGACCAAGGACAATTTAGCAAATATGTGGGTGGAATGGAGTACATCTTAGAAAAGTTTTTTTAAACTACAAGATCCAGAATCCCCCAGCTTTTACAAATGCTATGATTTAGCACTGTAGTAGGAGTGGTTGTATGGGATGTGGTGGAGCTGTGGGTTAAACCGCAGAAGCTTCTGTGCTGCAAGGTTGGAAGACCAGCAGTTGTAAGATTGAATCCATGCGGAGTGAGCTCCCGTTGTTTGTCCCAGCTCCTGCCAACCTAGCAGTTTGAAAGCATGTAAATGCAAGTAGATAGGTGGGAAGGTAACAATGTTCCATGTCTAGTTGTGCTGGCCACATGACCACAGAAACTGTCTACGGACAGATTCTGGCTCTACAGCTTGGAAATGGGGATGAGCAACGCCCCCTAAAGTCGGACACGACTGGACATTTGTCAATAGGAACCCTTACCTAGGAGTGGTTACCTGAAAGATTGGGATTCCACAATAGCTTTTGTTACTGTTTTGTTTTGTTTTTTACATAATCATAGAACCATGGAATTGGAGTGCTTAAAAGGCCATAGACTCCAATCCCCTGTTTCAATGTAGGAAGCCAATGCTGTTAAAGTTCGTTATAACAAGAGCATCTAGAATGCCTTTCATTGGCCTTACTGCTGGACTACCTGCTGGGCAGAAGGGAAGGAGCCTCATGTTGTTGGCACGAAAGCCCTGTGTAGATAGAGCAGGGGGGTCTCCAAACTACGGCCTGTGGGCCACATCTGGCCCGCCTTGCCATTTAATCCGGCCCATTCCCTTCAGCCCATGTGCGTAGGTGTCCATGTGGGTGGGGGGTGCATGTGGGGGCGTGCGGGCATGCAGACATTCCTTCCACCCTCAAAACTGCAAAATATACGATGTGGCCCTCGTGCTCAAGTTTGGAGACCCTTGGGAATGAGATGCTATCTACATACCTATGTCAGTTTCTGTCAGTTCTTGTTCTTTGTAAATGCAACTTGTTTTGAACACTTACCAAATTTCTTCAGTGGTTCAATGCCAACTCCTGATGTTTGCAGGCATTACAAACTTCTCTGTCTTAATTAGGCAACATATAAAATAATACAGTGGTGCCTCGCTTAACGATTGCCTCGTTTAGCGATGAATTTGCATCATGATGTGTTTTTTAGAAAATAATATGCTTCGCATAACGATGTTTCCTATGGGCGATTTTCGCTTAGCGAAGTTTGGGACCATGCTTCGCATAACGAATGCGATTTTAGGTCCCCTGCTTCACTTAACGATGTTTTTTTTTCCAATTAAAAAAGTGTCTTAGAAGGGTCAAAAACGGTTCTAAATGCTTGGATTCGTTAGAGGACCCCTTAAGTCATGTGCAAACCTGATTTGGCTTTGATCTGACTTTTCGTTAATTTTTTGTGAATTTT